TGCTCCGCAGCGCTGGGCGCAGGGCTCCCGGGCTGGGGTGAAGCCCTCGTCTTCCCGGAGGGTGAACCTTTGGGCCAGGCTGCAAAAGTCCCTGTGCACCGTTTCTTTGCCACGGACCTCGGTCTGGGAGTTGTGGGGTAAAAGCCTTCAAGGGAAGGGGCAAGGGGTTATTTTCCGCCGCATTCTCACGTGGGGAGGTGGTATCACCCAGGCTTGGGTGAATATCCCTGGGGTCTCGGAGCTCTCCTTTGGCATGAGTTCAGCCAACTCCTGCCGTGCTACGCGGTCGCGTGTGCTGCATTTGTCTTTGCGGGGCCGGCTTTGCAGCCTCCTGGCAACGACTTTAGGTTTCCACCAGGTCCCGTTTGTGCAAACACAGTTTCAGCAGCATCTCCTCCCCTTGCCAAATCCTGCATCGGGAGGCGCAGGGCAGGCTTTTGCAGGGGGGATGCTCCGTCGTGTGCCAAATCCTGGGGGCTTCTCCAGGAAGAGGCGGCTTTGGGGGATTATTTCATCCCTCGGATCGAAGGCTGGTGGAGGCAGATTTTGTGTTCACCCTCAACACACCTTGCAGGGCGTCGTTGGTGCCCGGTTCAGGGCTGTCAAAGCTGCCAGGAAAGACAGGATCAGCAGCTTTGCAGCAGTGCCATCCACTCGTGTCACGGCCCCGAAACCTAGAAAGAGCAAGCGAAGATGATGGAGGTTTTGAGGTTGCTCTGAACTGTGCGGAGGGCAGGACCTGGGCCTGGTGTCCCTGTCTCCTGGCATCCCCAAGGCAGGAGCACTGCGCTCTGCTGGGGCGTCCGCAGGGCGGGCGACCCGATCCCGCTGGCCCGAGCGGGGTTTGGACCCGAGAGTCTAGAGTCCGTCCTGCTCCTCGTGATGCTGTCTGCGGAGAGGGGAGGGATTGATTCACCAGCAGAAAAGGGCAAGAATGGGGTAAATTCATCAGGTAACTTACTTTCCGTGAGCCGTTTGACCAGTGTATTAATTATGAAGCAGTCTCCCTCCTAGAGTCGGGTGGCAGTGCAGGCCTTGAGGGGCCTTTCCACTTAATTATAAATATTAATTTGCGCGTCAGCCAGCCAGCCAGCACCCTCCCTGCCCCAGATTTTGAGCTGAGATTAGTCTGTCTCAGCCGATCCCTCCCTGCACCCAGCACACCCCGGAGCTGCCCTTTGCCGGGATGGCTTCTCTGCATGTGCCTCTGCAGCGGTCCCGGATGGAAACGGTCGAGGGATGCTCAGTTTAGGGGGTGGGGGGGATGAATCGATGGTCGATCTGATCATTTGGGGGTTCAGCCTTTGCTTGGGGTCCCCGGTGCGACGCCCTTTGCAGCGTGCCCCCAGCTGTCTGCGCTGCGTCCCCAAGGGCTGAGGCTTCGGGGCTGCTGGTGCCGCTCCCGAGGGGGCGATGGGGACGGGAGCGGGTGCGATGCGAAGCCCCTGGCACCGGCAGGGGAGGGTCGGGGGGGGGTGTAGGGGGTGGAAAAAACCGACTTTGGTGCTGGCTCCGTGCTAGTAAAAGGGTTTTGCGTGGGCAGGGTCATCGAGCATCGCTCGTGATTTATTCTGCTAAGTCCCAAAGAGCAGGGAGTCATTTTAAATGTGATTATTCTCTTTTTTTTTTTTTTTTTTTGGCCCCCCCCGGGAATAGAAATCCATAGGTGCGGGTCTTCAGCTGCGAGGGCGTGCGCTTTGCTCAGCTGCTGCGAGCTGGAGCGGTGCCCGAGGGCTGAGCATCGCTCCGCCGGCAGCCAGCCCCCAACCTGCGAGGGGTGCGCCCCGCTCCCCCGCCAGCCAGCCCCAACCCTGCAGGTGCGGCAGGCCCAGCGGGAGCTCTCCCTTCGCTCCGCAGCCCGTAAATAAATAAAATAAAATAATAATCCTGGTTGCAAACACAAAGCATCAGGTTGGGTTTTTTTTTTTTTCCCTTCCTTTCCCTGAAAACATGTTTTTGTCTGCCGGTGATTGCTCACTATTCAATTATACTTTGGGGATTAGCATATATTTCCCATCCTGCCTCCTCTCTCATTTGCATTCTTCCAATAGCTCCTCTCTGCTCTTTCCTCCACCTGAAGTCTCTTCCCCCTTTCCTCTGAAGAAGTAAAACTAACCCCTTTGCCTGGGTGACCTATAAAAATGCCGCCTTCACTTTTTTTTTCCCTTCTTTTTTTTCTCCAGTACATATGATGAAAAGCATGAGATCATTGGGATTTTTATAGCCCAATCTGGCAGCTTTTTCAAATAACTTGGATGGTGAGATGTAATTTTAGTTTGGGTCCTTGCCTAAAAATAAAGAATAATTATTAGCACATCAGACGTGGATATTGTAAGTGTTCAAAAAGGGTTTAAATTGTTCTACAGATACCGGAGCTGCCACGCTGTTAGCACAAAGGTCTGTCACAGCCCGAGTCCCATCGCTGCGCCGCGCATCTCGAGGAGCTTATAAGGAACCTTAATGTGTGTCAATAAATAAATCAGAAATGGGTCGTGCTGCGTGATACGGGTGGCTCTCTGCAAAAAAAAAAAAAAAGCATGCTTAGAGGGTTAATAAGCAATTAATAGGTGAGATGTTGAAGTCTGAAGCCGGAAGGTGTGTTTTGAGCCTTGTATTTATTACTAGCAGTGTCTGTGCATACTAGCAAAGCCTGGCTAGCGGAGAGAGGCGGTGTCTGTTACTCGGAGCCACCGAAGGGCTTGGGAAAAGCAGACGGAAGCCAGGCTCGCGTGCCTGGAAGCTTGCTTGGCTTTTTCCAGCCACCTCAACTGGTGTAAAAAAAAAATGGCCCAGGGCTGCTCAGACCCTGCTCGGAGGCTCTGGGGTGCCTCGGTGCTCTGGGATGGGTCTTGCCGGGAGCAGCTCCAGCAGCGCGTGCTCCCAGTGCATCCGCCCTCGCCGGGAGCTGCGGCTCTGCCCGCGAAAGGATGCGCAGGCACCTATTTCGTAACGGTGGGTCATCTTTCTGTCGTCGGTCAGGAGACGTGTCTGCGGCACAACCACCTCGCTCCGGTGATCTGTCCAAACCCCCGTCCGAAAAAGCTCGTGATGTCCCTTGTCCCCCAGCGAGGACAAGGAGCATGTCACCTTGCCACAGAGGAGTCCCATTCTTAGCAGCTAATTTAGAGCGCTGGGAAGTAGTGCCCTGAAATCGCCTGAACCTTGCCTGAAGGCTCAGCGCGACGGCTCCCAAGCCCTTCAAACAAATCTGGGTTAGCAGAGGACTTTGCAGCCAGGGTGCTCTGCTCCCCTCCGCCGCGCCGGACCGGCGGTGCCTCAGGTGATGGTCCTGCCCCGGGGAGGAGATGCGCGGTGCGGCTGGGAGCGGCGACGGCTCCACCTCCGTCGCTCCACCCGGCTGGGTAGAATCACGGCTCGTGCTGCTCCGTGGTGGTAGGAGAGAGCTGTTGATCCCGCTCTGCTGCCAGGAGCCTTCCAGCTGGGCTTTTCACGGTGCTGGGCTTGCATCAGCAAGCCCTCAGGAGAAGGGCTGGAGCCCGCATCCAGCTCAGGAGCATCCCTGGCCTCCTGGAGATGCTCAGCCCCAGCTGGAGTCAGCGCAAATGCCTTCTCCCCCTCCCTTTGGGAGGCTGGTTAGACCCCAGGTGTTGGGATGTGAGGAGCAAAAGCTGAAGGAGGGTCTCGGGGTCTCCAGCGTGTCCTCTGCGCCGGTGTTTTGGGGAGCGCTGGGTTACCCTGCTCTTGCTGGCAGGTTGCAAGAAAGAGATGAAAGCGCCTGAGCTCTTCTCTCTCCCACGTGCTGCCGAGTAGCCGTGCTTTATCATACTTATTGATTTTGATCTTACAACCAATTTAACAACGCAGCTTTCCCCAGCCTCTGGGTGCTCTTGACTTAATTAAGGCCCTTTTTTGCTCTCCCGTCAGCCCCGTGGGTAGCAGGGGCTGGTCACGGGCTGGGCCACGGGGGAAAGGGAAAGTGCCATCAAGGGTAAAAGGTCCCCGTATACATCGGGGTTAAGCAGCCTGATACACGGGGAGTTGTGGGCGATGCTGGGGCAATGCATCCCGGCTGCTGCTGGGACTGGGTTTTGCAGCCCGACCCCTTGTGCCGGGGAAGGGGGGAAGAGGCGGCG